GGTTAGGCTTTGGTAGATTTTGCTAGCATAATTTTAAGCAGAATTCAGCAAAACGAGCATTATTTTAAGCTTTTATTTCAGTTTAGCACTGCTGGCATAATCCGAGCTTTTATGCGTTGAAAACAAAAAAAAACATCATAACTCTAGAATAATTCAGTTTGTATTTTATTTCTGTATTGTTTTTGGAAAATATTGAGGTCTGTGCTAAGATGGTCCGGCAGGCGGCAGAGGTCACCCTGTGCATAAGACTGCTAATAGGAAAGATTTAGTGAAAATTCGTATAAGTAACCACAAACTCATGATTGAAACTGGAAGATATAATCAAACTTCCCGCAACGATAGATTCTGTTAATAATTAAATTGATGAATTCACAGAATTTTTCCGTAAATTCACATTTGTTGAAATTTGTCTCATTATGTAATGATTTACGTAATAATTTGTTATCAAACCATGCTGATGACACTTGATTGTCTATAGTAATCATTGCATTGCATTATCATTGTTATGATTTGTTTGTTTGTTTGTTTTTGTTTTTTTTTTATGTTAAAGCTTTTGCAATACTGTAACTACATAATTATAGTCATGCAAATAAAGCTTATGTTGTTGTTGTTGTTGAGACTCAGGCTACCACGCTTATGGCGCGGCGGCTCGGCCCCTCAGATGGCGTCGTCCTCGAGTACATCCACTTCCACCACTTCCACTGCCGTACCGAGAGCTTTAATCCCTAGAGAACGTGCTCCTAAAAGTAATACCGGAAAGTACAAGGAAAGAGGTAACTCAGATCCAAAGAACATGAGTCCTCGTGATCGAATCGAAGAATTCCCAGGGGGAAATTTGTGTCTTCGAGGTCAGTGGAAAACTGTTTTGCAATGGGTGTAAGGGGATATTGAGCTCTAAAAAGAGCATTTTAAAAAAACACTTGGCTTCCAAAAAACATGCCGCAGGCAAAGAGAAGTTAAAAGTGACAAAAAAGCGAGATCATGTGTGCACATGCGTATTTGCCACGTTAAAGACTGTAAGACTAGTTGGAAGGTGGACGAATGTTCATTAAAGTCAAAATTGATAGAGTTAAGCAACTGATGATCTTTATTTTCCTTAAAATCAGTGTAAAATATAAGTAGCATAATTTCGGTGACAGAGAGCATAATTTTCAGAAAGTAGCATAATTTTGGCATAATTTCTAAAAAATGTGAGCACTGCTAAAAGCATAATATGCTTTTTTTTTCGAGCACAATCTACCAAAGCCTACCTGGGGTCCCCCACCTCTATGTAGACAGGCCCTGAGAGGACAAATTAAAAATGCAGTTCACGGTAGAGAGCAGAAATTACAACAATAGACGTTTACTTTAACCAAAACCCGTGAATTGGGAGACAGTCCATACCACTGTTATTAAAATATTTTAAGTTGCAAGTTAAAACCATCAACTATATGAATTCGATCGAAAACACTGGAAACAAGCCAAAACTTGACCAAAATAAGGATAGATCATTTCCTGGAAATCTAGACGAAGAGTCAAGTTAAGGTTGAAAATATCAAACCACGGATATTTTTAAATGTAAACAAGCCTTTGTTGGGAAACTTGATTGAACATTCTTTTACGATAAAAGGGTTGTCGTGGAAGCCTGTACTAAAATAGTAAGAACATATTTGTTTAAGAACGAATTCATAAAAGTAGGTTTATGTTGATGAATATTTTCTATGTCGAACTTGTTCAAGGGCAACCAACGTCAATTTTCGGAAAATATCTGTTCGGAAGACAATTTGAGATCTAGAATTTTCGGAACATTTGTTAAAAAATTTCTTGCTTGTCTACCTCTCCTAGGATTTTCGAACATCTAAAAAATGGTATTATTGCCCATTTTTAACGGATTTTTAACGTAAAAAGGTCACCAAGAATTTTCGGAAGCCTTTTTTCTGGCTGAAATTTTCGAAAAGGTAAGTTTTGATCACTATAATTTTCGGATCACAAGACTTTCAGCTAGGAAATCCGAACAGATGAAAAATGTTTAGGGGATAAAAAAAATGCCTATATCTACCTTTTAAATACTAAAATACTTTAACAATTCTGTGTTTAAGTGGTTTTGAACTATATTCTCGTTGGGTGCCCCTGCTTGTTGTAAAGGTATTCTAGACAACTATAAGGTGAAAATTCGTGATACCGGACATTACATCCCAATAAAATATCCCTTAGTTAACTTATCATGTCAAACAGAAACCACTTAAGAACATCTCCTTAATTTTAAGCATAAATCAAACTGGGTAAGAGTAAACTAGATCAAAGCTAAAATTTCCATTGCTTGCATTTTTACTTTCATTTTAACATAAGTAGCGTCGGGTCAAGTATTCCAAACGTCTACTTGATTCTGTGAAAACAGGTTTCATATTTTCTTACTCGGCGTGGACGTTTATACCTTTTTTGACCTTGGTGGTTTGGCGCTTACTAAATTTTCCCTGTCATTAAAATCGATCTCCGGGTTGGAAAGACTAAACACCGCCTTCAAATTAAAGTGAGCGGCTTTCGCCTACGCACGTGCACGTTCATGACACCGTCGCGAAATCCTCCGGAAGTGTTACTTGAATTTGAGTTTTCAACTTTAATTGCATCCCCCGTTCTACATGCCTGCCTACACTTTTTAACTATTGGTTGATTCCTGCTAGTATGCGCCCCAAAACTGTAAAAATTACAACCGCCAAAAGTGTCACACGCTATGCCTTGCTGGAAAGTGAGTGAAGCTGAGAACAGAGACACGGAAACCACAACTAATGCCGGCTTGAAAAGCCGTAAATATCGTATATTTACAGAATGCCTTAGTCTTAGTTATTTGAAACCGAAGATAGCACGGCCGCAACACACGAACAAAAAAGGAAAGCGGTGCGGGTAAACACGCCACCGCAGAAGTCTTTTCATCAGGCAATGGGGGCATTCTGGTTGTTTTTTGTGGGAAATCGGGCCGCTTTGAGGAAAAATTTCTTTCAATTCGTGATTTGTTCTCATAAGCCTGAGAATGATATTTTAAAAAGGTCAGTCGAATTATCGTAACTTGAGTCTTTTCGCGTTGTTTCAGTGGTGATATTTTCACCCGCCAAGAGATCATAAATTAAAAGGAACTGGTGTTTTTGAACAATATTCAGTGTCTTTCTTCTTCCCTTCGAGAGACGCTGGAAACAATAGGGCCATTTATACGAGGAAAAATAAGACGCGTCTTACTAAGACGCGAACTGTACCATTTATACGAGCATGTCTTATCTAATAAGACGCGTCTTATTAGTTCTTTGCTGCTCTTACAAGCGCGTAAAGACATGACTAACTTGTGATTTCGGCCGCGGACTTTTGACGGTCACACTGCGTTTCGTATAAATCTGACAAATTTTGGACGGTGTCAGACGAAAGAAAGAAAACTGACGGAGTATCCACCACATGCAGTTGATATTCATTCACCTCCGTGTTTCAAGGTATTGCATTTACACCTATCTTCAATCTGTTAACAAAATTAAATGACCTTCTCGACAGTAATCGAGTTAGATAGAAGAAAAATAATTGGACAAAGAAATAAATAAAAGTATGCGCCAGGTTGCGAGCCACTTCGTTGTAGTTATCGCTTTGTATAGAAATTTTATTCTTTTTAAAAAGGTAGGCAGGACCGCTGAATATAAAAACATTGAAAATTTTTAGACTTAAGTATAATTCGTGTATATTAGGCTATAATCTATCAACATGATAAAAAATCGACCTAAACGCAGTTGTTTCAAAGTTTGTTGTGGGTAAGGTCATTACAGTATGGAATCGTCAAGTTCCATGCTTCACTGCGGTGAACGCATCGGAGAGTTTACTGAAATATCAAGACGGCGACGGCCACGAAAACGTCCCTTAAAAGTGAATTTGCGTTCTTTCAATCTCCATCGCGATTACTCCAACTCATTGTCAAATGCAAGCAAACTCAAAGTCTTTTTGAGCTGAATCCATAAGAAATGACCATGTTCAAGTTCAGAAAAAGAAAGAAAATTTAGCCGTCGCTTGTTTGCGTCCTCCATAAATCGTGAAATTAGGCATTTAGTCGTGCAGTGAAGGCAAAGAAATGAATTGTGATGCACGTGCAGATTTGTTGTTTTGCCTATTCAACCTGCTGCTTTTTTGACGTTCTCGTTGTCGTCGCCGTCGTTTGCATCTTAAACTCCCTACTGTATTCATTGCCTGTCCATGGACTGACCCTGGACTATGTTGGTAGTTGCTGAAGAAGTAACTACCAAATAAATTTTAATCAATGTTTTGTCTACCTTTTCTGACCAGTTGGAGTCTGTGCGTTAAGTTGGCTCTTCATCCGAAAAAAGCGTGTCGGATCAGTTCAATATATAACCTACACAAAACAGAAATAGGCTAATGAAATTTTCAGGTTTCCAAAAATTTTGAATTTCGCTAAAACTCGATAATAAAAACACCGCAGTGTTTCTCATGTGATATTCACGTTGGTTTTAGCTTTCGTTTCTCGGTGTGGTTTTATCAATCAACCGGAATCGACCGTGACTGAGCCGCGCCATGGATAATAGAAGTCTTTCAATTATCCATGGCCGCACAGTCCCCCCACATATAGGTTTAGCCTGCATAACAGGCGCCTTATGAGCCAAGCGAGACAAACACGCGCGAAATACCGTGTTCGCCTCGCTTTTTGGCTCATTAAGCGCCAGTTGTGCAACGTAACTTGTGAGGTCTGTGAGGGCGCGAGTTTCTCTCGTGAATAAACAGTATGGCGGATGTTTTACGCCCTCGCAGACCTTTCATTTCTTTATGAACATGGCATAGGTAAAACGGCGTGACGGAAAGAGGCGATTTCGGAGCATATGATATACAGGTTGAAGAGGGTGAATCTTTGATAAAATTAAAAGCGTGTGGGAGTCCAAGAAGTAGATGAAAGAGCTGTAATACCGACAGGCCTAGCTTTGGAAAGGCAGATGTTTTTCCTGCTGGCTTGACTTCCCTATCGGCTCAGTGCGGCCCAATAATCAGAGCAAAGAAAGATTAACTCTTGCTGGTCCTCGATAATTATAAAGCCGTCCAGCGGAACGGAAGTCCGTGGTTCCATTCCATATTTCCATCCCAAGATTCTGTGGATAGATGCGCACTGTGAGTAAGAATAAATTCATGAAAAGATGTATTAGATTGGAAACAGATGCATCAAAAGAATACCGGTCGAAGAAAGGTGCGGTCAGTGTAGCGGCAAAGTGTAGGTATATACCTATAGTAATATGTTAAAATCACTGAAGTAAATTTTGGTACCACAGATTCCTTGCATTGGCAATAATACGTACACTTTTAAGTTTAAGCGTACGCAGTGAAAATTGTGAAACAAGGCTCGCGGTGGGGGACAACATTTTGAGTGGCTCATCAGCAAAAATATAAGCAAGTATAAATGAGCTTGCTATAGTAGCTATAGTATTGTCTGTGGGTTTTGTAACTGAATTTCTACAAATTTTGATTTAGGAAAAAATAAAAGCTTAAGCTTTTCTGTTCTGCAGGGGGGATAGTAGAATTATTAACGAAGAGGCTACTTGCACGTACCAAAGCATCATCCGCCCACGCAAGGGCTTTGAGAGCTTTTTATTTTAGCTAGGCCACAGAAAAAAAGAAGAACTAACGATAAACCGAACCTAACAAGCATTTATTACCACTTGTTTAGTTGAATTACAATTTCGGGAGACGATACAAAGAAAATTGTGACGTTGACGCTTTCTAGTTCAATATATCTACTCAGCATATATGCAAGACTGCGTGCATGGTTCGCCATCTTGTGAAAAAAGTGAAGCTTGTTTTCCCCACGAATTATTTATCTCCCCAGTTTTTTTTTTTTTTTTTTTTTATGCGTTCACCCTTTTTTGCGTTTTACGAATGAAAATGGTATATCTATTATCAATATATCTACTCTGCATGCAGGACGTGACTGCATAAATGGTTCGCCATCTTGTGAAAAAAGTTGAGCTTATTTCGGTATTCCCCACGAATTATTTATCTCCCCAGTTTTTTTCATGCGTTCATCCATTTTTGCGTTTTACGAAGCTCTGATCCAGTGTAAGAGGTTTATCTAGTGTCATCAATTGTAGGTGTGGATGTCGAAAATCTGTAGTGGAAGCTTTAGTCGATGTATGCTGACATTTAATAAGCTTAACATGTAGTCGATCTAAGGTTAAGTCGACTAGCTTTTATGCAGTGTAATGCGAAAATACGTTTGTGGTCAGTAGTGGGATAAAGTTATATTTCTTCGGTATTTAGTTAGCAAACCTTCTTGCCATTCTGTTGTTTTAATGGGCTAAGTTTTAGAACAAAACTTGATGTGGTTTTAGAGTTACACAGTGACTGTACATTTAGTCGTGGATTTTGTCTGTTTCTATTCTTTTAGTTCATTCCTATTCTAAGTTTATCTCTAGACTTACTCTAGTCTTACCTTTGCCTGCTGACATATCAAAATGGTTGGTTATTTCTTCTGCTAAAATGGGGATATGTCTGCCCTGCCGTTTCACTCGCTAACTAGACCATTAGTTAGCAAGTAAAGACACCTTCCCACTTTGCTTCGTTGTTATTTATCCACAGAGTTGTTCTTGCATAATAGTAATTGACAGAATTATTTATGATTGGTGCAAATTATTACGTAGAATATGCTGGCCAAACACCGTGTTCTTGAACATGGACACCTATTTCCGCATGAGTCAGTTAGAGTGTGTCTGCAGGTTTGTGCTATAAATTCAGACATGACTAACATTTTGTTTCAAACAATAACCTGGTGAAAAAGTAGTGAGTAAAAAACAGAGTACTTAAGACATGAGCTGCCTGCTGCCTCCAGCTAATTTGATACTTGACTATGGACGTCAAACTAAAAATCTTTCTTTTTCCCTTGCAAGTTTGAGTTTGTGATAAGTTGCTATCTGTGTACAAATTAGAATAGAGAACATCAGCTGTCTGTTTTTGTGTGAATGCACAATAACCGGAAGTGTGACCTTTTCCTTTTCAATATGCCTTGAGGCTAACAAAATAATTTGTATTGCTAAGTGCCTTTACTCTTTTAATTTAGAGATGATTTGTTTGAAAATTTGGGCAAAACCACTGGCCAAGAATGCAAAAAGTACAATTCCAGCTGCTATCAGTCACTCAAAAAAAAACCTTTGCTTAAGCTTGCCAAGAATCATTCAGAGATGCTGTAGACCTGTGTAAATTGGTTTATTGTTGCTAACTTACTTTCATTTTCAACGTCCTAGGTGGGGCATTTGAATTTTTTTGCAATTTCTCGGTCAAATTCCCAACCCTCGGGGCTGGAAAATAGTTCAAATTTGGTAAAATATCCCTTTTTGGAGATAAAAAACCACAGCTGGGGCAAAATAATTAATGGTCAAAATCTCTATAGAGGGGAGAAAGGAAGTGTTCAAATGCTGCACAAATGCCTGCCCCCCCCCCTCTCTGTTCAAACAATGATACCTGAATTATCATTTGTAATCTGTGCTGTGACAGTAGTATTATGTTAAGCCTGGAGCAAGCTCGTGTGGGACGCTCATTTTCCCGCCCTGCCACCAGAGTGCCCGGGAGAGCTTGCTCGCAGGCGGTATCATGTTTTGTGATTCTTCTGACTCAGTTTTTGGGTATGTTTAGGCAGAGGTACAAAATTTCTGATTTGCTTCTATTTTTGGCTATGCAAGGGTCACATATTTGTGGTAATGCCATTACATAGTAGACATTCACATGATGACCTCAAAAGCTTTTGGCAATTGTTCATCAGGCAGCAGTAAAACATGGAAAAGTGGAAACGGAAATGGAATCACGGAAACGGAATACGGAATCCACGACAGAAGGTTCCAAGCAATTGATTTGAAAAAATATATATTGGCAATAACAATAAAATAAATAAACAGATAAAACAAGACATAAATGAATAAATTAGTTGAGTGGAGGAGACTGCTGTATCACTAGAGGAGTCGATTCTGGTGAAAAGACTCTTGATACCACTTCCGGCAATGAATGCAAATTTTCATGAGACAGCAAAGCAAGGAGAAAAATGTCACTGACAAAAACTAGTCTCTTAAGAAAAAGGTAAGTTATATGGAGACAGACTTCGTTTAAATCGACAGAGGAATCGTTTATATAACTGAAAGGCATCGCTGTCAAGTTTTTCCTGAGTGTCTTTTCTGGGTTGTCTTTAACAGTGTTCAGTTTTATTTATGAAGACAACTTACTCAAAAGAACCATGGCATTATGGAGTCCAAAGAGAAGAGAGAATTGTGCATGCATTTGCTTGATTCCGCAACTGATTACATCGAAATAATGCACCATGTTTAATAATTAGCCTCTTCAACAAAAATACGGATGTCAATGTAAACTGAATTATTGGTACACCAGTATTAAATCAGTATTCAGCTTGGCAAAAAAGTTGAACTTATTGCTAAAACACGGGAACAGTGGTCACGTCACGGGTTGGTCATGTGTTGAGTATTCAGTTTGGGGACAATCATGTGATAAGGTCTGAGGCCAACTACTACTATTCTTGACATTTAGCTACAAAGGTGATATTTACTGTATCATTCAACCCATAAACTCGTGAATAAAAATCACTTGTAAAATTACTTTCATCGGCAGATCGGCACCCACACTACGGCAAACCTTATCCAGACACAATAACAGTAATATATTTAAGGGAACTGCCAAGAAGACTAAAACAAATTCTCTTTGGATTGTACTAACTTATGCAATGTGAAATTCTTTACCGGTAATTTTGTATCATTGATATTTGATTCCGTATTCCGTTTCCATTTCCGTTTTTGTGATTCCGTTTCCGTTTCCGGATTCCGGATTCCATGTTTTAGTGCCGCCGTTGTTCATCTATCTTGCACCTAATTAGCCAGACATTCCCGAAGTTATTAACATCACAAGCACGCAAGTTAATTCATTTGTTTCTAAGAATAAGTGGGATAGCCCCAAACTACAATCCAGTCCTTGAAACACTTCTGGAAAACACCTAGTGAACTTTTTACTTGTTCTACTAATTCATATATTGGTTGCTTTTCCTTCCTTCAATGGTTTCACATGATTGCTAGGCCATTAATGTTTGCAAAATCAACATTGTAGGGCTAGAGGCAAAAAAATCGGCGGGTGCTTCAGCAACTATGTTTGGGATGGTAGCAGTGGAGTTAGTCTCTGTATTAGTAGGTTTGTTTTGGCGGGCATGAGCTGGTGTTTATTCTGTTTTCTACTTTGATTCGGTTTGAATTAAAAAGAAAAATTAAGTTTACTCTGTTGCATTTGCATATGAATTGCTTGAGCCAAGAAAGATAACAAAAAAGGGTTCGATGAACACAAACTGTCTAGTAGATAAAAGGCCATAAAATCTGCATCTTTAAAACAACACCTGGCAAAAGAATACCCTGTGTGTTTTTCATGGTCTGCCAGTGACACGTGCAATTTCCTGTTGGGGGTTTCAGTGTTATTATTGAAATTTTGTCATTTTTATTTAGTTTGCACCGGGGCAAAAGCTTATAAATAGACTTTGAACTTTGGGCCCTTTCCCAGGATTTCATGCAGATAAGAAGTAAATGCTCATCACAATATAATAAGGCTTGTGGCATGTCAAGCAGAATGTATGATAATGGTGCCAAATATCATTAGAACTCTCAAGCTAGCAGCTGCAAATAAGCTGTTAGGAATGGCTCAAACATCAACTTTAAATCTGCTGAGCCTGATTTTGTTGTTAAGTGAACTGAGTTCACTGATTTTTATTTGCTGTTCCATTTGACTGAGCAGGTCTGGTGGATTAAGTTTGATTTAAGCTCAAATTGTGCCATGTCCTAAAAGCTGGACTGGACTGGATAGAACTCTGGACTGGACCCTGGACTCGGGACTTACCCTGAAAAAAAAAATTACTCCGCAATCACCTTTTAACTTTTGTAGAAAAAGAGAGAGCAATAATGTTTTTTTTTTTATGGTTGAACATGCATAAGGAACATAGGCAAACCTAAAAAGCATTTCACCTCCCTGGCTTATGAACTCAATTTTTACCCTGTTTATTTACTCACTGTCTGTGCACTATGATTAACGTCTGATAAGGGCTCACACATGTCAATGAATAGTTTTTCTTATCTGATTTCCATGTGTAGGAGAGTAGTAACCCTTTTAAAAAAACATAGTTCATTAGCCAGAGACAACATACGTTCTTCAAAGCAACACTGCACAGTGGCGCTAACGCATTCAAATGCTGTATGATTTCTCAATACCCAGTTCAGCGAGACACGCGCTTGTTCAGTTTATTATCTGAGACTCGCAGGGTTATTTTTGAAGCTAGGGAACATTCTTTTATTCCGGTGTATACTTTTGTATACTAAAAGATTCAGGAACTGTATATTTGTGTTTGGGGGGGAATCCTTTTTAGATTTGTCTATGTCCCTCATGCGTGTTCAGCCATAAGAACATTATTTCTTCTTCTATTTCTACAAAATTTAAAAGGTGGTGGGGAGGGTGATTCCGGAAGAATTTTTTTTAGGGTATTTCTTTTTTTTGAGGGGGGGGGGGGAAGTCCAGGGTCCAGAGCCTAGTCCGGCTTTGGGGATATGCCGTTGTTAACATTTTCCAATTAAACCCCCTGTGAGCAAAAATGTAATGACCATGGACAGAGTTCTTGCGGTAGAGTTAAAACTGTGATGTGGTAGCGGAAGACAGTTTATTCTTTTCCGGAGGGAAATGTTGACCTGG